AGCTTTAATGCATGCATGAGGTACGTATACACATATACGGAGTGGGCATATTTCGATGTTTGTATGGTAACTCTGTAACTATGAGAGATACAATAGTTTGTTTAACGAGCACGGAATGATAGTTATTTTCTACGAGACTTCGGCTTGTAGCAATCTGATTTCCTGTCAAGTAATGCTCATCTATTAGACAGAGCTATCATTGCTTGTTTCACGTGCTAGGTCGCCTACTAGTTTTTTATTTAGATCGACAATGCACTAACTGACCCGGCAAACGTTGTTTTGTCATAAACATTATTTCTGGAAAATATTTTTTCAGATATATATTTATCAAAAAGCGTTTATTATTTTGTTTCTACTTCTTTTCAGTATGGCTATCCATAAAAGCGGGATTCTTTAGTTTTTAAAACTATTCTATTTATTTTCTACTCTTCTAGTTCGGCATGTGTTATTCTCAGTTTTTGAATTATTGGAAAAAATCGAAAATTTACAATTTTCGTTTTTATTTTTTCAAGCGGACACCAAAAGGCCTACACGTTTCTGACTGGAACATTCTTGAGGCACATTTTTACAAGAAATCTGAATCTGTCATTGTATTTTTCATAACGTTCTTGATGCCAAAGTTACAACACACAATTTTGTTTTTTCTTATGGGTGCCATATTGAATTTTTGCTATTTTTATGATTACAATGATGTAACACACTATGTATATTATCGAATCTTTCCTGTTGATCAAAATTGGGAATATACCATTTTTTGCGAAGAGTGCTTTTGAAAGAACGCCAACAGTTTTGTTTAACAAGCTGAATTTCGACAGTTTATTTGAATTTGAATCTGGAACGTTCACATTTTCGTCAAGCTCATCTACTTAAAAACTATGGTCTTGAATTAGGAACGACGTAATGAGCTAGAAGTTTATTCTTCGCAAAAAAAAAAGTTATAAAAGATGCTCGAATACTCAACCATCCACTTCTAAACACGATTCTACGAAATTCTCCGGCTTATCTTAGTCCTGAAAGTGGTGATTATGGTTCTTCTCAGCTCATCAATATCGATCGGTACAGTTTTGAAAATCAAATCTTGCATAGTTCCCAATAAATAATAATCCAGCAGAGAGAGATCAGGTGACCGCGCTGGCCAACGTATTTCTCCGTTGTTGCAAATTGCCTTGTCAGGGAACATATCTGACAGACACTCGGCAACCCTTCTTGCGTTATGTGGATTTCGGATATTCAATTGAACTGTCAAAACTCAGTTTGTTAAACAAACCTGTTGGCGTTTCTTCCAAAGCACTCGTCGCAAAAATGGTTTTTCCCAATTTTGATCAACAGGAAAGATTCGATCATATCGTGTGATACATCATAGTAATCAGAAAAAGATTTTTCAAAAATGCAAAAATCCAATATGGCGCCCATTAGAAAAAACAAAGTTGGGTGTTGTAACTTTGGCAACAAGAACGTCATGGAAAATACGATGACAGATTCAAATTCCTTGTGAAAAACTGCCTAAAGAATGTCTTAGTCAGAAACGTCTAGGTCTTTTGGTTTTCGCTTGAAAAAATGAAATCGAACATTTTATTTATTATTAAAAATCGTTTTTTTTTTCAAATAATTTAAAAACTGAAAATGAAACATCGAATTTTCTTGCAGATAAATGTTCAGCATGAAAATGCGCAACTTTGCTATAATTTAACCGACGTAGTATCTCTTATAATAACTGCGATCCCCATGGTGGAGCTCGAGCACCCTGTATAAATTTATTGAAATTTGACGTTTTCGCAGCGCAATCTATTGGTATGCGATTTTCTCGAATATCTGTCAGTTACCGAATTATCTTATACAAACATCGTAATGTGCTCACCCTGTACGTAACGTACACTTCATAGTTTCCTGTCGTAAATCGGCGCACCGACACATCGTCCTCTAAAAAGGCGTATTCTCACGCTGTAAATAGCATTCGATTCTTGCGTATACGAATACTTCTTTGATTCGAAGTAATTATGTATCTTGTTAATTCCAATTAAAACTTGCTCAATACAACAAAAATAATGCAAACACAAATAATATCAGTGGAAGTGTGATATGAAATTACAATATACAGGGTGATTCAAAATTCGATGTAAATATTTTAAGGACATATCGTTGGGATCAAAATAAGACTTTTCATTCATATAAACATGTGTCCTAAAATTCACCCCCTTCAAGCTACAGCCACTGTAAGTTAGGTAAAAACATTATATACAGTGTGGTCATTTAAGTGTGCAACATAATGGGAATCTTTTTAATGAATTGCACAACCAAAATACAGATAATGCCGGAAGTTGGTGCATGTTCGGTAATCATTTGAGGTGCCCTTAGAATGGTTGCAAGTCAAACAGCATACAGGGTAGGTCAAAAATATAAATATTGCTCAAGAGTAAAGTACTATTATTTCAGAAAATTCTCCAAAATGTTATGAAGAAAAGTTGTTTACAATTGAAAGTTATGCCTAAGTACCAAAACATGTCCTCCTGACACATATTTTAGTTTTTCAATTTTTTTTTCAATAACTTCCCAATTTCTTTTTTTTTCAATATTCACCCTAAGTACAGTCGTATTCAGAAAAAAAGCGTACAAGTATATTACAGAGAGAAATTAACGTCATTCTATTTGCGTAAAATGGGCTATCGGGAATGATTGTTTACCAAATGTTGACAGTAAAGTTGTCATAGGTTCTCAAAAACACAAAGCATTGGCTGAGCCAGTTTCACACAACTAGAAATAGAATGACAAAAACCTCTCTTTTTGAAACTTGTACGCTTTTTTATTGAATACGACCGTACTTTCATGAGTTAATCATAACAAAATCAGTTGAGCATACTTTTGTTCAAAATGTATGGTTATCGCAAACACAAAAATATTGTATAAAGCCGTTCAATAATGAATTCTGCTTAGGATATTCCATTTTCGGGAAACTATGAATGGGTTATCCCTAATACAATATATTGAATTTTGTTCTGGATTTGGTTCAACAAAACAATTTGTCGAATCGAAATACAATGTGTCTTGAAATAATGAAATATTTGATCGAACCAATAGATTTTCATGTTCATTCCAAAAAAACAATTATTTGAGCTAAGACATGCATTACGAGACTAAGATTATTAAAAAATTATTAGGGTGACTACATCGCTACGGGGGTAGAAATTACACAGCATGATTCTCGCTCCCGAATATTATTTTCAACTTGTTTCGGTATTTATTTCCGAAATTCAACTCATCCAAAAATGATCAAATGCATCTTTGATCTCATTTAGTCGCTTCGGCCAGAGACTGGCACTGATGAGGGCCAATAGCCCGGTCTGTAGGTGGTTAGGCGTTGCCTGGCTACAATGTGAACACAATTCGGCATTCAGAGGGAAAAAAGCACGTGCAATGAATATTCGAAAAATCTATTGCGAAGTTGTTTACATTCCGTTGGTGAATGCTCAGACATCCTACTAAACTCAAATAGCTAATGAAAATATGTCGTTTCAACGTCTATTCGGGCATAACGTTTTATAAATCACTCGTTAATATTCCACTTCACCTAATACAGACCTTTCGCTCGAGTAAATGCCGAAACACCTCTTCATTCCGAATAAAAGTGACAAGAAGTAGGTGGTTGATAATTATTGGAGATTGGAGTATGCCCACGTACACTTCGGCCTGATAGATTACCTACTTGGAATCATCAGAATATACAGGGTTGGCAAAAGTCTGGAGATGGTCGAATATCTTCGGTCGTGGGATAAATCACGAGCCAATTTCGGGTACACTAGACTTCCTTTGTTGTTGGTTGATATTGTATTTAACATCTTTTTTACGAAAAAATACAATATTTTCAACATTTAGACTAGTACACTGTGATTGAAATTTTAAAGAATTTTAATGCATAGTAAGTGGCGCCCTCTATGAGTGACATCTAAACTAATAACGGATTTGAATTTCTCGCCTCAGAAAACCCATAGATGCCAAATTTCGTGCCGTTTCGTCACTCTGTTGGTGAATTATTGGAAAAAAACTAAATGTAAATTGAAACTTTGACACCCTGTATTTTTGTCATCATCAACTTTTGAACTGAGGTAAGTTTGGTTAAAACTCAATATTTTTATTCAAGGAATTTGCAGTTTTGCTGTGTACTATTAATTAGCGGACATACAGGGTGTTCCAGACTTAAATGTACATACGATAATTGCAGATAGAAGACACTTTGGAGGTTTAAAATCACCCCCCATTGATGTGTCTACCGTCTTTGAGAACTGAGATACAGAACGTTATCTTGATTTTGGCAAAATCTTCATCTGGCCATAATTTTTGAACGACTCCGTATAATCTATTCATACTTGGTGAAAATATTCCACTTATATTACACATCAAAACTGAATAGAAATCGAGATCAGAATCCAGGTCCGTCTTAAGGAAAAACAGAAAACTTTTTATATTCCAAAAACAACACTGTATGGCAAAATTTTGTGAATCTGTTTAAAGTGTACTACTTTTTTTGAGCGCGCATCCCATTTGACTGATAGTTTATCATTATGTTTTGAAATATTCAGCTTCATTACGAGGCAAAATAATTGCATTTTCAATTACGAGTTCAATGAAAAAATTTCAGAAAACATAAATAAAACATCTGTCATCAGAAATCTAGTGTTTATCACCAGAAATGAATAAAGATGGAACTTATATAACTGTTTCACAAACACTTCAAAGTGAAAGGAGACGAGGATCTGTCTGTACCCTGTTAAGATGACAAATACGTCAATTTACAGCAAGGACCCTAGTAAATGTCTCGAGAAGGACAAAAAATCCCCTGTACGCCTGTCTTTCTAAATTTTGTCTTCTGTCAAAAATAAAAGAGTTACAAGGGGTGGTACTGTATAACCTGTAAATTTACTGTGATCAAAATGAAAAGTTAGTCAAAAAATTCCATTGGTGATGTTTCGAACCGGTTGTGACTCTTTTTTGTTATTTTCTTGCAGACGGCTTCCACTCGTTCCGCTCCGCCTTCCCCGAATGGTGCGACAGCTGCTCCGAGCTGCAGCTGGACGCCGACAGCGGCGGCGGCGCCAATCAACCTCCGGGCAGCGGGGGCGGCGACCCGCTGCCGCTGATGGGGCTGCGGTCGCTGCGCATCTCCGCCCCTGCGCCGCCGCTTCCCGCCTCGCAGCTGCAGCGCCGCCAACCGCTGCGCAGCTGCTACGACGGCCTGTCGTCGGCGGCGAACAGCTCGACTGACAGCTCGGATTGCGACGATCGCTGCGACAGCTCGCTAGGTAAACTGTCGTTTTCTTGGGGTTGCAGAAATGATCCTTTCCGTATTTTGGGGTTGTAGAAATGACACTTCTTGTTGTTGGAGTTGTAGAATCGACACTTGTTGAAATGATATTTCCTGAAGTTTGAAGTTGTAAGTAAAAACAACACTTCTTATTTATGGAGTTGTAGAAACGATACCTCATTAGTAGTACCTGGAAAAAGAAGGTAATTATCAACAACAACATAAAAGGTCGTTTCAATAACCCCAAAGGAAAGATTAGTGTATTGTTTCCACTGCCAAACGAAGGAATGAACCAGGAACTATCTTTCCACAACCCCAATACAGAATGTGGCATTTATAATATCCTATGAACAATAATTGTCGTGTCAAATACCGCAAAATACAGAAAGTGTCATTTCTACAACCTCAAAAATAAGGTGTCGTTTCTACAATCCTAACAACAAGCTCTGTTGTTTCTAAAACCTCAAAATACAGAAAGTATCATTTCTACAACCCCAAAACAAAAAAGTTTCGTTACTACAACCACAAAATCAGGAACAATGTTTTCACTACCCAAAACAACCGGTTGCGTCTACAGCTCCATTAACAAGGAGTGTTGTTCAACTACCCCAAACAGGAAGTATTGCTTCTACAACCAGAGAACAAGAAAGTGTCGTTTCTACAACCCAACAACAAGAAGTATTTTTTCTACAATCCTAAAATACAGGAGGTATAATTTCTACAATATCGAAAGGAAAATATGTCGTTTGTACTCCCCCATTGGATGTGTCGTTTCTACAACCTCATAAACAAGAAGTATTGTTTCAACAACCTCAATATTCAGAAAGTATCATTGCTGCAACCACAAAAATGAGATGTCATGTCTACAACCCCAAAAACAAGAATTTCGTAACGAATCGCTTCCGTTGATGAGGCTGAGCTCACAGCGCATCTCCTGCGCCGCCGTTCCAGACCTCGCAGCTGCAGTGCCCCCAGCTCGGATTGCGACGATCGCTGCGAGAGCTCGCTAGGTAAACTGTCGTTTCGTTGGGGTTGTAGAAACGATACTTTCCGTATTTTGTGGTTCTGGAAATAATAATGCTTGTTCGGGTTGTAAGAACAGAAACGACACATTTTGGTTTTTTGAGGTTGTAGAATCGGTGCTTTCTTCTTATTTTGAGGTTGTGAGAATAGTTTTGGGGTTGTAGAAATGATACCTACTGTATTTTTGGGTTGTCGAACTGACATGTCTTCTTATTTTCATTAACTGAAAAAAGAAGATAAGTATCTGCAACAATAAAAACGAGAATTGAAACATTATGTATTCTCTCACTTCAAATGAGGAACTATCGTTTCTGTAACTCCAAAACAGAAAGCGTTTTCTATAGCTTCGAAGAGATTATTGTCATTTATCCACCATACCAGTATTGTATCGACTAACAAACAAGTGACTGCCGTTTATACAACCTCAAGAACCAGGATCAGTCGTTTCAACTATCCCAAAAAAATTACAGAAAGTGATGTTTATATCCTAAAAGTGTCGTTTCTTAGATCGCAAAATATAGGAAATATTATTTCTATAGCCCCAAAAATATGGTTACGACAATACAACAAGCCGTGTTGTTTCTAAAACCTCAAAATACAGGAAATATCGTTTCTACAACCCCAAAGCAAGGAAAGTGATGCTTCTACTACCCAAAACAACAGGATGTGCACTTTCTACAACTCCAACAAGTAGAAGTAGTGTTATTTTTTCAACCATACACTCCAGGACGTATCATTTCTAGAACCCTAAAACAAGAAGGTGTTGTTTATACAACTCAACAACAAGAAGTGTTGTTTCTACAACTCCAAAACGAAAAAGTGTTGTTTCTACAACCCCAAAATACGGGCAGTATCATTTCTACAGACCCAATGTAAGGAGGTGTCATTTCTACAAAATCAAGAACGAGAATTATCATTATCTCGATCAGTTGCCGCTGATAGGAATGCGGTCGCTGCGCATCTACACACATTCTTGTTTTGGGGTTGTAGAAATGATACCTCCTGTATCTTGGGGTTATAGAAATGACACTTCTTGTTATTGTGAAAACGATACCTTCTTATTTGTGCTACCTCTAAAAGGAACGTGATTGTCCATAACAAGAAACAAGAATTTGTGTTTTTTACCCCATCAAATGAAAAACTATCGTTTCTATAACTGCAAGACAGAAACAGTTTGTTATAGCCTCAAAAAGTTTAGTGTCATATCTAGCATTCCAGTATTGTTTCGAGTGCTAACCAAGTAATTATCGTTTGTAATACTCCAAAAATAACAAGGTGTCGATTCTAATTACAACCCCGAAATGCAGGATTGTCGTTCCCACGACCCCAAAAATAACAAAGTTTCGTTTCTTATAACAATCCCAAAAAGCAAGATATGTCGTTCATATAACCCAAAAAACTAAGTGTCGTTTCCAAAACCTCAAAATGCAGAAAGTATCATTTCTACAACCCCCAAAACAGGGTGTCGTTTCTACAACTCCTAAATAAGAAAATTTCGTTTTTTTCATCCCTAAAACCAGAAAAAATGTCGTATTCACTACCAAAAATCAGGATGCGTCGTTTCTACCGTTTCACCGTAGAAGGTGTAGTTTTCTACAAAAAATCAAGAACGAGAATTATCATTATCTCGATCAGTTGCCGCTGATAGGAATGCGGTCGCTGCGCATCTACACACATTCTTGTTTTGGGGTTGTAGAAATGATACCTCCTGTATTTTGGGGTTATAGAAATGACACTTCTTGTTATTGTGGAAACGATACCTTTTTATTTGTGCTACCTCTAAAAGGAACGTGAGTGTCTATAACAAGAAACAAGAATTTGTGTTTTTTACCCCATCAAATGAAAAACTATCGTTTCTATAACTCCAAGACAGAAACAGTTTGTTATAGCCTCAAAAAGTTTAGTGTCATATCTACCATTCCAGTATTGTTTCGAGTGCTAACCAAGTAATTATCGTTTCTAATACTCCAAAAATAACAAGGTGTCGTTTCTAATTACAACCCCGAAATGCAGGATTGTCGTTCCCACAACCCCAAAAATAACAAAGTTTCGTTTCTTATAACAATCCCAAAAAGCAAGATATGTCGTTCATATAACCCAAAAAACTAAGTGTCGTTTCCAAAACCTCAAAATGCAGAAAGTATCATTTCTACAACCCCCAAAACAGGGTGTCGTTTCTACAACTCCTAAATAAGAAAATTACGTTTTTTTCATCCCTAAAACCAGAGAAAATGTCGTATTCACTACCAAAAATCAGGATGCGTCGTTTCTACCATTTCACCGTAGAAGGTGTAGTTTTGGGACTGTAGAAACAGAAAGGACACTTTCTATTTGGTGATGTGACAATAATATATTTTTTTAGAGAATTCAGATTCTTGGAGTAGTTCGAACTACATTTTTTCGAGGTGGTAGTACTGTTGAAAACGAAAATTCCTACTGTGTGAGTGTGAATATAATATATTATTCTAATTTTTGTGGTAGTACCATTTAGGAGGTTATTGAAACAGCTTTATTTCGTTTTTTCAGTGGTAGAAACAGAATAGTTATTTGTTTAACTAGGCAGCAAAGTAGTAGATTTACTGCCGTGGCTGAATTCATAGCCGAGCGTAGCGAGGCTAGGAATCCAGCTAAGGCAGTCAATCTACCTTGCTGCCGAGTTGAACATATAATTTTTTCTCCGATTGTTCATAATGATATGGGAGAATATTGTTTTTGCGAATTAATACAATTCCCACAATCTCTTTATTCTTCCTGTATAGTGTTAATTAAAATAAAATTTGATAGAAATCGCAGTTGTTGGTTTGACAATTCATGAAATTTCTGACAGTTGTGCGAAAAAATATCGGTATATTTAAATTATTATATAATGGACAGTGATAGCGACCTAGAAGTATACTTACACCTCCATTAATAAGGGAGGTGGCAAAAAATATAGAGTTGAATTTGTTGCCGGAGAAGTCTCGGAAGAAATATGGAGGAAATTATAAACGATTTATGGATTTTTAATTTTGCTGATCCATATCAATCAGCAAAGTGACCACTTTGCTGCCTAGGCAGCAAAGTACCCACTTTGCTGCCTAGGCAGGAAAAGTAATACTTTGCTGATTGATATGTGTCAGCAAAATTAATATTTGCTGCCAATCGGAGGAAAACACATTACCTATTCCATACATTTCACGAATGATCCCCTTTCAACCTCTATCTTTCCATTCCATTATGTCCATTCATTATATTTTTAAATAGAGATCCTTATATTGTAACGATAACATTGTGGAAAATAAAGGGGACCTTGAGTGGATAATAAATTAGATAGGCATGATAATTACAACTTATTGCTAATGAATCAATGATGGGGTTCATTCAAATTTCGTATGAGCAAGCATGACTCATGTTTTGAATATATAATGAAGCTCAAGGAACTTGTATTTTTTAACGACCACAGATAGTTGAGTTTATCTTTTTATTTGTGTACCTACCATTGATAACTTTGTGGAGAATTTCATTCAAGCTACTGTTTGTGCATACCATGTTATGAACTGATCGAAATAAATAACTGGAAAAATATGTGTGTACAGGGTGTTTCCGAAGTTGGAGCGATAAATGAAATTGGGTATTATATGAGACGTAATGCCATCACAAAATGTTCGTGAAATGTTTTAAAAAAATGTGTGTTCCCACCATACCACATAATACAGGGTGCGACACCGAAAACGAAACAGAGGCTCTGTAGGTCGCCAAAACCGGATTATCAAAAAAAACTGAAACAGGTCAACTACATTTTCGAGGGGGACATCTTTCTAAAATATTTTCAGCCACGCGGCGTTGCCGCTTCTAAAGAAAAGAAGCAACAACTTTGTTATTTCAAATGGAACACCTTGTATTTTATTGCATTTTTAGATTCTCCCCGAAGAGCTGATTTCATCAATGCATCACACTTAGGGTCTAGCTGTAATGGTTTCAGGGATATAAAGTGTTCAAAATCGAGATTTTTCAACTTTAACATTTTTTTGTGTCGAGACTATTCATTATTGGTCAAAACGGCTCTCATGTCCCGATCTCAACTTGTGATTTACTATCTACTGACATTTATTTGAAACAAATACAGGGTGGTTCAAGATTCAGAATTCTGATCACCCTGTATTTGTTCCAATTAAATGTCAGTAGATAGTAAATCACAAGTTGATATAGGGACATGAGAGCCGTTTCGACCAATAATGAATAGTTTCGACACAAAAAAATGTCAAAGTTGAAAAATCTCGATTTTGAACACTTTATATCCCTGAAACCATTACAGCTAGACCCCAAGTGTGATGCATTGATGAAATCAACTCTTCGGGGAGAATCTAAAAATGCAATGAAATACAAGGTGTTCCATTTGAAATAACAAAGTTGTTGCTTCTTTTCTTTAGAAGCGGCAACGCCGCAGGGCTGAAAATATTTTAGAAAGATGTTCCCCTCGAAAATGTAGTTGACCTGTTTCAGTTTTTTTTCATAATCCGGTTTTGGCGACCTACAGAGCCTCTGTTTCGTTTTCGGTGCCGCACCCTGTATGTTAACAATCATTGTCTGCAATTGTCTGCATTGTCTGCAATCATACTTCTGCTACTTCCAATCTCGTCGAAGTCGAAAGCTTTGGTTTTGCTTCATTTCAACCCTCGTAACCAAAAATGTTTAATCAAACTTCATGTTCAGTACCTTCAAATTTTTTTTCGATAAAAATGTGCTCAGTTTCGTAAACACCCTGTGTGCAAAAATAAAAATGGGTTTGTTTGGAAGGCATTCATCAACTCTGGATGAACTTCATGCCCAGTATCTTCAAATTAAATTGAAGAAGAAAATAGTAGTATTGGGTGGTAAACACCACACTTTTTTTAGGAATTCTAAACAGTACTTTCTGTTTTGGAGTTGAAGAAACGAAGATTTCTTTTTTAAGTAGTAGATTCTCACTGTTTTGGGGTTGTGAAAACGACTCTCCCTATTCAGAACGAAATTTTGAAATTTAGTTGAAAAGATATTTTATTTCTTTCGGAATTATTGTAGAAATAACAATTCCGTTATTGGGATGGTAGAAATGATCATTATTTTTTTGTGGTAAATTTGCAACTTGATTTCTCATTTTCAAAGATTTTTGATATGGTACGAGACTACTTTTTTTTGGGATTCCAGACACGAAGTCCCCCCCTCCCCCTCTTCATTTTTGAAGTTGTGTTGGCAGCATTTTTTGTTTTGGGGTTGTACATACAAAAGAAACTAACTTGTTTGATAGTTGAAATAGTACTGGTATGGTAGATATGACACTTTCATAAGGTTGTAGAAACTGCCTACTATTTTTGGGTTATAGAAACGATACTTTTTCTTTTTTGGGGTGGGAAACTTTCTTTTTTAGTCGGAACTGATACTGCACTCTATTTATGTTAGAATGATAAAATACTAAGAAGGTATTCATTAGCTCTTGATTGAACCCGAAATGAAGATTTTTGCACGATTGATTGATTGATTTTTGAAAGATCCTACTGTATGTGCTTTTCATAATATATACTGATTAAAGTCAATTGATTTTGAATAGCAAGAAATATGAAGATATGTTGGGTCAGTATTAATATGGGGTGAAAGCATCCAACCATAAACCTAACTCCACATAAATGAAAAATAAACTAGATGAGATTTTATCATTGCATTAAGTTCACTTTTCCAGGGCTTGAAGAAGATAGAGAATTTCCCGTAGAAATACTTCCGTACCTGTTCCTTGGAAACGCCGCAAACAGTGAGGATAGTCAAGCATTGGCTAAGCACAGTATACAGGTAAACTAATTCATCTGATAAAGAAATTAACGTAATTTTTACGATACCGCTAAGCTGTGTCCAATTTTCGAATGTGACATTTTTATTTGTTTCAGTACGTCCTTAACGTCACACCTGACCTACCGAACGTGTTTGAAAATCAGGGAAGCATCAAGTACATGCAGATCCCCATCACTGATCACTGGTCGCAGAATCTGGCAAGTCATTTTCCGAAAGCCATTGAATTTATTGGTGAGTACCTCCTCAACAACATTCGTCATAGTCATAGTACAATGGCAAGTTACATGGTGTACGGTAACGCCCGTAAGTAATGAAAATATTTAAAAAATAATCAAAAGTGAATAATATAATATATAAGTACTGAAAAGTAATTGAAAAGGATTTGAAAACATACTCTGAAAGGAATTGAAAAGAGTCTAATGATATTATAAAGGTATTTGAAGTGATGAAGGAAACTCGGAATTCAACATAAAATAGTATATTATCTTGATTTTCCTTTCAAATCATTATTCTCTTTCTACCGTAGCTATTGAACGCTCCAAAATTTGCAGTCAATTTCATCAATTCACTATTTTTTCGAAAATGAAAATGAAAAAAATTAACCAATCCCGTTAATTCGGAATGAGGTAATTTTGTGTATATGGAGGTTGGACAGCATGACGAACAATATTATGGAGTTAGTTTTCTTGTAGAGAAAAATCCTAATATGATTTCATAAGAACCCCTTTATGTTTCAATAAAAAAGCGCGGCACTGTCCAAAAGGCTGTTTGTCTCTGAAAAACTGATCATATTGATGGTTATTCATATCTGTTCAAATCTGGTACGAATCGCACGACTATAATAGCTGAGATATAGAGGGGGGCGTTTAAAGAGGCATGCTGTATAAAATAAATTTCATTTTCGTTGTTTTATTTGTATTCAAAAAAAATTGATTTAGATACATATTCATGAGCGAAGAAACATCTGTAGTAACGAAATTATTATAAAACGGTTTTGAAAACTGAATTTTTTAAATTCTCAAGCAATTGTTTCGTTTCTGTATGGAAGAAAAGGCGCTGGAACTTATTGCGCCACTGCAAACCACTACTGTAATAGAGACAAGTAATCGGTAAGCCAGTTCAGAGAGTCAACCTCCCGTCTATACACAAAACCGCCCGTCTATACACAAAAACTCTAAAACACCGTTTCGAATTTTCTTGTGCTCATCGGGATTCTGGGATTCACTCGCGAACTTAGGCAGACGAGAAATGTGAACAACCCTGAGTATCCTCAATACAAACTTCAAAATGAAGAAGACTTCAAAAGTTTTTGAAGTAATGAAGAATAGAATTACTGTACTGAAAGAATAATTAAAATATTCTGAAAGTAGCTAAAATATTATTAAATTATACTTGAAAGGTATTTGAAATACTCAAAATTAGTAATTAGTAATTAGAATACTGAGAAGGTAATGAAAATATTCAATAAAAAATAATCGGAGATACTGAAGATACTGAAATGATAATTGATAAATAATTAAAATGATGAAAGGATTTAGAAAAGTAATCAAGTACTTAAAAACTTAGGGTGTACACCATATTTAAAGAGTTGTTTGCCCCTCGGTAGCGCCTATGGACTTGAAATGATCTGGCAATGATGTATTTTGCACAACATAAGCTTGTCAGCAGAAACCATACCTTTGAAGACATCCATTTCGGTGCTTGGTATTACTATCAGCAATAACCTGGGAAAATCACGTGAGATCAATTGCTAGAAGTGCATCCCAAAACTTGGTTTTCTGTTTCGGGCCAGGAGCTATTTCACTTCCCGTCAGCTGCTTATGATCTATAAGGCACAGATCCGACCTGTCCTGGAATACTGTTCCCATATTTGGAGTGCAGCACCCAAACATACCCTGAAACTGTTGGATTCTGTCAAAAAAAGGGCAATTCGTCTCGTGGGTGATGTCTCGCTCACAAACTCACTCACTTCTCTGGAACACCGTAGAAAAGTTGGCGATCTGGCTCTATTTCATAGAAATTTTCATGGACGATGCTCTTCTGAAATATCAACAATTGTTCCTTCCTTGGCAGTCCCTGCGAGATTAACCCGTCGAGTTGAGGCTTCGCACCCCTTCGTGGTCACTTTGGAGACCTGCAGAACATCTCTTTCCAAAGACTCGTTCATCCAACGAACAGCGAGGCTCTGGAACACGTTGCCAAGGGAGGTGTTCCCCGAGGCATATAACCTCCAGAAATTTAAGAAGAACACCAATTCCTACCATATTTTCCTTGGTTCTCATGATGTTCTCTGAACATTACAGGATATCCCTTTTCATGGGAACCAGAACATAACAAAAAAAAAATGGTCGTCTCAAGTGAAAAAGAGTGCACGATAAATTGAATAGTTACTAACAAAAATATCATTATCCAAATAGAGATAACAGTTGCGTTCACACGTGTCAAATTTTTGAATATTAATGTTCAGATAATGAATGATTTCATTCAGAATACCGATTCAAAACTTAATGTTTGAAATTCATTCAAACTTTGCAGTATTGAACTTTTAATGAAGTGTTATAACACTTATAACCAGCTGAACCCTCTGGTGAACCACAAGTAAATTTTATCACCGAGTTTATGGCCAACGCTAAGCCAATTTTTTTTCATCTCTTGGAGCGCACGAAAGGAAATTCCTAGGGAAGATAAGGAGAGCAGGTAGGTGTTGATTTTTTTTTGAACTTTTGGAGGTTATAAGTTCTTGGGAATACTTCCATTGGCAAAGAATTCCAACGATTCGCCGTTCTATAGACGAACGAGTTTCGGTAGAGCGTCGTTCGACATTTTTCAAGGTTAACAACTAAGGGATGTGCTGACTGGGTCTGTCGAATTCGTCTGACTGGTATTGCTAGAGATGGAATTATAGCAGAGATTTCTGAGAAACATTTCCCGTGGGAGTATCTATAGAAAAGTGAAAGGTCGCCGACTTTTTTACGGTGTTCTAAGGAGTTGATGAGTGTGTCATCACCCACCAGGCGAATGGCTCTTTTCTGGTTGGAATCTAAGAGCATCAACTAGCAAGAGCGCTCAAAGCAGTGTTGCCAACTAAACGTTATAATCGTATTTATGAAGGGTTAGTTTGTCAGATAGGAATCTATTGTTATAAGGGCAATAATACCTACCTATTTTAATAATCATTCTAGCCGGCTGTGTGTGCAGTTTAAACCTCGAACAATAAGGGTCAAACTTCGACACACAATGTTCATAAAATGAATAACAGTGGTAGATTTCGGGAGAAAAACAACTACATTACTACTGATACAAATGAATCTTTCCTGAATGCCTATTGATTTCGATTTAGCCAGGCCACGCTAGACACCTACAGACCGGTTTCGAGCTCTTTCATCAGTGCTGATGATGAGTTTATATGAAGTTATTGATTTCAATGAAAAAAACAACATATAACTTGATGAACATTTTGTGCGTTGAAGGGTTGAATAAAACCTTGAAAAAGTTGGAATGAATGACTTCTAGTCGTTGGTTTTCGCTTGTTTCGCACACAGGCAACATTTCAATCCTCGCATGATTAATTGATGTCGGGATTCGGGATCTCGTCCAATTCAGATTTCCCCAGTCTATCTTCCCCTTACCCCGCACATCCCCCTCGCCGGGCCGACTAATGGCGGCCTCCCCTACGGAGTAACGTTGAATGGTTCTGTCCGATAATGTTCAGGCACGGGCGTACCGAGTGGTCGGAATACTAGGCCGTGAATGACTTTATGAATCGAGGTTTATAGTATACGTTTTCTACGACTTTCAAGTGGATGAGATCCATTCTAACTCAAACAAATAGTCCAATAAATAAAGGGAAAAAGTTATCAATAATTACGCACTATTTTCATCTTCCGGTTGGAAGTAGCTTTTGGTACCTCATTAAAAATGAGACAAAGTTTGACTGAAAAACGCGTGCGATGGCGGAGAAAATGGCCCCAAAAGACCAGGAAAATAGGTTTTCAGCCAATATCTCCTAAAATTTGGCAGTTAGAGATTTTCGGTTCGGATAAAAACTGAAGTTCAGTTAATTTTCTGCAAAAATGATCCTTATCATTTTTCTCGAAAATTTGCCCGGTTTCGAGAAAAACGGCACGAAGCGCACCTCGAATAATGAGCTTCTGTTGTATGCCGGAGAGCACAGTCCGTGTATTTACACATCGGCGGGGGGACGAATTATTCAATAACTTTGTTAAAAATGCATATTTTCTCATGATTCGAAGTTCATGTGGAAGAGGAATTCTGCTGCTATCATACCCTGTGAATTGAGTCACGCTTGACTCTTTTGGCCATATCGGAACATGGGTCAAACTTTCTGCTCCCGGTCAATTTTGACCTCGCCAGGAATTTGTTCCTATTTTTTTTGTATTGCACTAATTTACTCAAAATTTTCTTGATTATGGGTCCTCATGAGGTCCTTTGTCATCCCTGAAATTTGTATACCCTAATTTCTTTTAATTTTCATTTAATCTTTGTTTATTGAATCCCAATTTTTTGCTGTTTTTGGAGCGCGGGGAAATTTTGTGAACAATCATCAATTGAAAATTTATACATGATCCGATTGGTTTCTATGATACATCATTTGAAAGCTAAGAAGGTCTACTTTTCGATTGGGCAATTACTTTTTTAGACGAATTCAATAAAATTAGAAAAAGCGGGGTCAAGGAAAAAACGCACTTTTTTTTCGGTGGTTTTTTTCTCCGTGCTCTTTATTTCTAACATTTTACCACCTTAACTAGTGTAACGGGGGAATTCCCACCTTTCCATCGATGTATATAAGTCATACCTTTGATATCCCGGGAAAAAAACAGTATATCTAAAGTACACGCTATAATTTATTACTTTCGTTCCTCCGTCGTTCGCCGCGTGTGTGCTCTACGTGGCGCTCGGGTTGTCTGCTACAAACCATGCGGCCACGCAGGTATGATAGCAGCAGAATTCTTCTTTCACATGAATTTTGAATCATAAAAAAATATGCATTTTTAACAAAGTTATTGAATAATTTGTCCCACCGCCGATGTGTAAATACACGGACTGTGCTCTCCGGCATACAACACAGAAGCTCATTATTCGAGGTGCGCTTCGTGCCGTTTTTCTCGAAACCGGGCAAATTTTTGAGAAAAATGATGACCATTTTTGTAGAAAATTAACTGAACTCCAATTTTTATCTGAACCGAAAATCTCTAACTGCCATATTTTAG